ACTTCTTTTTTTAGTTGCTGACGGAATTTATGTTTTTTTCTCAGCTTCAACTTACAGATGGAAAGGACTTACTGATCTATTAAAAAATTGTGGTCATACAATATTTGTTCCAAAAAGAGTTAATGTGACTCGATTGTCAGGACGATTTAATGTATTAAAAGCTCCTAATTTATCCTATCAAGATATAAAGCAAGCACTTTTGGAGTTATCGAGAAGATACCATTTCGCTGTCAAGCAAACAATTTACACGAAAAGATGGCTACGTGAGAATTTGGTATTTATGTTGCCTTTTGGTTGGAAGTACTGGAAAAAACTGACCTAGCGTGTAAATCTTTGAACATACATGTTCATCTTTGTATAGCTCATTACAACATTTTTACGAGTCTCTTAGTGATAAATGTAATTTAATTGAATAAAAGGGTCAGCTCTTATCACAACAAACGGAATACGGCAAAGAAATTAGAAGTCGCAAAAGAAAATTACAGTTTGACAAAGCATATACAGAAGAGGTCCTTACACCGCAAAATAAGATTAGAACCCAAGTGATGTATAAAACAATTGAATATTTGGCAAATAATCTGAAATCTAGAAGAAAAGCTTATGAAGATCTTGCCATCACTTTCTAATTTTTATTTTCTTTACCCCTTTCAAAGGATAACGTGATTTCAGAGAAAGCATCGGTATTAGTGAATATTTATTCGAATCACTTGAATACATCACTAGCAAGTGAGTATGTATATTCAATTACAAGATTTTATAATGTCACTACTAGGCCAAGTTGAGTATAAAAATCCAACCACTCACAGTGCTACTTTTGTTATGGAGCTTTTGCATAAAAATAATATAATTGCAACCTTCTCAAACGTAGAAATAGCACTAAGAATCTTCTTATCGTTGATGGTTACTAACGCAACTGGTGAAAGATCATTTTCCACTACAAAACGGGTCAAAAATTTGAGAAATACGATGACGGAAGAAACATTAAATTCGTTCGCTGTTTTAAATATTAATAATGATCTGCTTACAAAATTAGATTTTAATAAAATCATAGACCTGTTTGCAAGTCAAGGAAAATTTGTTTGTAAATAATTATGTTAATTTACATTATAAGTTGTGAGTTTGTGTCTTTGTGGCTTTTTTGTATATTTGTAATAAATTACCTAATAATATTAAAATAGTTTTATGAATTGTTAACCTAAGACGCATCTATACCTACTGGAGAGTGGCGATATAGTATGACTTAGCTCCTGGTGGTCCATGAACTTAATCCGGCACTGGCATTAACACTTCTTCCTACTTCCCCTTTTTGCTAGGTGAGGCAGAGCTTGAAAGATACCATCGTCAGAGAACTACGAACACTACTGTGTTCGTTAGTTCTCTGCCATCGTTACCCAGATGACTTATTAGGGCTTAAAACTATTAGTAGACTATGTGTTTTTTTGTGATGTATTTTTCTGATTGACACTTTGATGTTCTTATGAACTTTATGTATATTCATCATAATCTTGCTTCACATTCACTAAATGTTGCACTAGGAAAGTAAGGGCACTTATGCTCACCTGTTTGTTATACAATTTGATATAACTTATGTATATTGCTAATAAAGATTCTTAATTTTCAGGGAATTAAACTGGTGTATACGATTATGGCTGTGCTGACTAACTTAAAATAATTTTTCTTTTTTAAACTTTAATAAAAGTATAACTGCTAAGAACAATTGGCAGAATAATTCATACAAAATTAGTATAATTTAAATGTACTGACAGAAGTGATAAGGTAGATTGGAATTTTGCAAACTTTAATCTTTATCTTTTTTCTATACTTGACATCCCTTTAAGGCTGTCTTTTTTAAATTGGTCTATAAATTTTTGTTAACTTGTTTCCTAATAAATGTTATATACTTAGAGTTGTTTCTCTGGAAAAATTAATTTTATTTTTTATTTTGAAAGATTGGTTTAGTTTTGTAGCCTTTCAGTTTAAGAGCCAGGGGTGGTGAGTATACACTTTTATGTCCCCTCGATTTTTCGAGGGTTGCAGGCTAAAAACACGTAGAGAAACTTTTGCATATGATGAAGTCCGTGAAGAATTCGTCATGGTGATTGCCAATCTCGGATAATTCTGATATGGTATATGAAGAGATTTGGTTTTCATACCATACATGTAAACTGATGTTTACATGTATGGTAAAAAGTGTGTTAAAACATTTTTTTAACCAATTTGAATATCTTTATTCTTTTTCTTTTCTTTTCTAGCCTAAATTTTACATTTTTTCTTATTAATTTGTTGTACCTCTAATTGGTTCTACTTAATACTGCCTCGTGTCTTAGGTAAGTATATTTTTTAATTAGTTCTATTTATATCAATGTTTTCACTCAAAACTACTAACTACATCACTAGGTTCCGCCCTTAGAGTTGATAAAATACCAACCGTGAACCAAAATGGACTAAGATATGTCTATTCTAACAAAAAAGTCCCTGGCCGTCCAGGTTGGGGTTAGACTAGAGGTCAACAACCTCTTCCTGTAAAAAGTCATATGTACCGGAACCTCAGGAACTATTAGCTTGACAGAACTTACGACAACGACTCTGCAAACGAAAAATGAAAGTCAAAGTGTCACGTTACAGCGTTCCATCTCCTTTTTATAATTTCTCATATTGCTTCTCTTTGTATTTCACTTCTTATATGCATATAGCTTTTCTCTTCATTTTTTTTTTGTTTGACATTTGCGTTAATTTTTGTTCCAAGCCTTTTCGTATTAGTTTACATTTCATTCTGTAAATACAGTGGTACATTAGTGAAAAATAGTGGATCGTTTGTAATTATTTAAATCGCCAGTTGTCGGCTCATCCTATAAATAAAAAAAGGTAGTATGTAGAAGAATACCATCGCCTATTTAAAGAGCTTAAAAATTACCACTCAGGCAGATTTTATGCTTATATGAGAATGAGTCTGGATACATTTCAGTATATTTATCATACCATCCATATCTCCGGCGAATGTCACGTAGTTTGAAAACCATTAATAAACTTGTAATTTACTACGCGATCAACAGCTCGATTGCAATGTAAAACAAACTATTTTGTTCTGGCATCGACATCGCTGTAAACCGCGATGGTAGGTCGCGAGGGTGTACTAGTGATACATCCTTGTTATGTGCAATCTCATAAGAAAAACGACCTCCACCGCACACATCCATTTATCTTCGTTATGATCGTAACCTAAGTAGCTGGATAGAGCATCAAAAAATATAACAAGACAAAATCCAGCCGCTACGTTCCTCACCGGTGCCGACAAGTTACGATATGGGCCTGCTCCTAGCACACCTCCATCTAACAGAGGCTACACAAAGCCGAATACCCTCCAAAATCTAAGGACGGCAGCGGAGATTCCTCACCGGAGTCAATGCAGATAAATAGCTCTCTTGAAGTCGAACATCAGCGAAAAGTACTACTGAACCATTAGTTCCTTTGGATTACTTCCTTATTAGATTTCATTAATTAATAACTCTAATTTTCCTTAAAAAAAAACAATAAATATATATTTTTCTTTTAACAGCGTTAATAAAAAAATATGTAAAGGTATTTTTGAATTTTATTGATTAACGTCTCATAGACCCTTAGAAAGGTGATTTATTTTGGCACACCACAGGACCTGCGCCCGGTTGAGCTACCAACTAACCGTAATAAGAGTTAAAAAGGAACAAAAGGCCTTACTATTGACTTTAAAGCCATAAGTCAAAGAATGTGCTATTTATGCCTAAAAGGGAAATTCTTAAATTACAGTTTGATCAATGCACGTGCTCCGACTGATGACAAACCAGAAGAAATGAAAGAACAGTTCTTCGAAGATCTAGAACAAACCTACAAAAGATGTCCCAGAAATAATATTAAGATAGTGTTAAGTGACATGAATGCAAGAATAAGACGAGAACGAGCTGCCATCTCCACTATAATAGCCCACACAACGTCAGTAGCAATAATGGATTACCACTGATAAACTTAAAAGTAGCGTTAAATATGATAGTTGCTACCTCACTACTGCCACTATTTTGAACACAAGAATATACACAAGGTAACCTGGACCTCCCCTTATGCAAGAACAACGAGTATGATTGATCACATCTTAATATATTCAAGACACGAAATAGACATAATAAACCTGCAGAAGATGTAGAGCCATATCATTGCGTATTGATCTCAACAGTGAGGGCTAGAGTTTCAAATGCCAGGATAGAAAATAAAATGTCTAGAAAGAAATGGAATTTACAAAAGAAATGCAGCAGTTGCAAAACGGTACTCGGAAAACATCATCAATAGACTAAGAAATCAAAAATTAAATAAAAAAGGCCAGACAGATATAAACTTATACTGGAACAGAATAAAGGAAGATACTGAAGCAGCAGCAAAATATGAAATAGGAATAGAATCTGTTCAGAGAGGGACCCATTGAGCCCTATGCTCTTCAATTTAATCACGGATGAAATCATCATAAGTGTCAACAAGAAAAAGGATATAGAAACAAGGAAGTAAAACTGCTCTGTTAACGCAGACGGCGCAATATTGATAGCCCAAGATGAAGATAGTCTGCAAAGACTAGTCCACAGTTTTAACATAACAGCAAAAGAATTAAAATATGACAATCTCAGCTTAAAAAACTAAAAGAATGGTAATCAGCAAAGAACCAAGCAGATCTAAAATATAAATCGATGTAGATATAGATCGAAGTATTAATCCTTCAGACATACGTTTGTATACCCTTGTATGCGTTGGTAACATAAAGTTATTTTGTGGAATCCCCAATTAATATCAATGTTTTTAGTGGTATTATAGATTTTTACATTGATTGTTGAGTATTTGTATATTTGTAAATTGTAAATGTAGATAATGTATAATCGGTGATCAATTTTACCTCCTCTCAAAGCTTCATACAGTATACATTTTCAAATGCCGTTATATTCGACTGTCTTGTATATTAGTACTAAACATTGAAAAAAAAAACAAAAATGAAAAAGAATTTTATAAAACTAATATGTACAAAAATAAATAACAATATACTAATTAATAAAATATTAAATCTAAACTATTAAGTATATCTTCATTGGTATTACACAGTGGCGGCGTTTTTGATGTTTGCTTTTGACATACGTTTCTTGTTATTTAATTTATTTCTAGGTGTATCGTCATGCTTTTTATCCACCAAAGTTTCGTTATCAACTTGTACTATACTACATCTTTTAAATTGTATTGTCTATAAATAAACAACTCTTTTAATAATGATCGAATAAAACCTATAAAACATGAACGCCGCCAGCGGGGTGCAAGGGGGTGCAACTGCACCCTTTGTCTGGAAAAAAAGTACATATATACAGGTATTGTTCTATATCTTATAAGTGTTATAAATGCAAATGCACACCCTAAAAATGATACTGGCGGCGCCCATGCTTTAGAAATTATATAATGATTATTTGAAGTATAAAGTATCATATAATTCACAAAATAAAATCTATAAAATAGCTATTTATTTTAAGATATACTGACTTCCGTTGTAAGCTGTGCTAGTGTATTTAAGTGTGTAGAAGCTTTCGGAAGTTCATCAGTTTTTTAGAAATTGTTTACTATCTACCTGCGTGTTTTCTTGAAATTAATAATGAAGAATATTGACTTTATATATTTTATCGAAAATATACCCAAATTGAATTCGAAACTCAACGGTATTGTGATCAATAACCTAAGATACGCAGACGATACTGTGGTACTGGCTGAATCGGAAGAACATCTACATACACATAATAAATAATATCTTGCCGGATGGGGCCAGAGATAAATTCCTCAAAAACAAATATGCTAGGTTTTGACCATGGAACCTAGATCCAAAACAATGCGAAAATAGTTATCACCGATGCATGAACTAAATTCAAAACTTTTACAACTACATATATCTAGAAAAAGTGATAAACACTCAACTGAACTACTCAAAATAGATTAAGAGACGCATTGAAATCGCCAGAACCGTTTGGAAAGGACTTCTTGTAAGTTATTTAAATGCTCTTAGAGTGTCTAAGATATTAGAACGATATCATTAAAGTAGGCCAATGCAAACTCAATATCGGGAGATATTAGTTGTTGGAAAGTTGCTCCAGCAGAGTGCAGGCCAAATGGAGAAGTCCTAAATTGAAAGTGGCCTATTCCGAGTATGCTAAATGCTGTTACTGGGCGGCTTGTCTCTTCCAGAGATATTTGGAAATAACCTTGTTTTAATTCAAATGTTGAAATGAAATTTTCCTCTTTAGCTAGTTTTCTTTAGTTTCCTGTACTACTCTTTCCAGGGATTTTTCCAGGAAACTAGAAGCAATTTTTCGTATTTGGTAATTAGGATTCGATTTAAGGTAATCATTTTAACTCTGTTATTGTCAAAGTTTAAAAATCCGAAAGGGATAGACTGGAAAAGGTATAAAAACATACTTGGTAGGTCTCTGGAAAGAAGAATAGATACCATTAGAGATGTGGATAGTCTCGAATTGACGGTGGAGATGCTAGGTGAGGTAATAATAATTACTTAGCAGGAAAGCTGTCCAGAGAGATCAAGAAAGCAAACAAAGAATGCACCTTGGTGTAATGAATACTTACAAACGCTTAGGGCAGATGCAGTATAACAAAGAAATTCGCAAAGCTAAATTGGACTCGTGGAGAAGATTCGGGTTTTTCCTCCGAGAGTAAAACTCGAAGCACCAGTCTATATGAACATATCCCTTTTAAAGATAACGTAAGTAACGTCAAGAGGACTAGAATAAATGAGGAGATTTAAGTGATAAAGGGAGCACAATCGATCTGTAAAGGTTGCAGTGTGTCAGACCGAAAGCCGCCCTAGTTTCCAATCTAATTTAATCTAAGCTTTGTATTTGGTAAAAAAAAAATTACCATCATACCATCAAAGTTACCATCTTATTTGAATTGGTAGTACCATATTTTATTCTATTCTCTCTTAATTTCTCTTCAGCTTTTATCCTACAGCGATTTTAAACCTTTTTCTTCAAAGGCGTACATCGATTATTCTACTCTCTATTTTAATTTCCTCTCAGTATTGTCTTCTAATATCACATAATTAACATAAATTGTATAAATCTTGTATAAATCCAAACTGATTTTCGAATATTTCGGTTTCTTCATATATCCGTCCGTCCATTACTCTCTCACATCTTATCATAGATTATAAGTATTTAGTCAACATGGAAAAATAGACAGTGAAAATTATTACTTACCTTCCAGAATGTACGTATTTCATTAAGTTCTGGTCTTTTTCTAACCCAATATCCACGTAAATAAGCCTGTATATATCGCACTGCAGTTTCACGTGTCATTAACGAGGATAGAGGATAAAAAGGTCTGGGACTAAAAAATTTTTTATGAAATGAAATATTTGAAACACAATTAAATTATTGATGAACTGCCATGCATTATAAGATTAATATATTCATCAAGTGTTATTAACTGTAAAACCAAGAGGCAACACGAAATCTGTTTCGGATTGGTTGAAGTAAGTCAGAACATAGAATTTTGTAAAAATGTCTCCGGTTTATAATTAGAATTACTAAAAGTGTTAGCTGAAAGATTTGCGTGAAAATCAGATAAAAATTTAAACCGAAAAATCGTCATTAGTGTCCTAGTTTTTAAACTTTTTGAACTAATAGATAATAATTTATTTTAAACTAATAGATACGATAGATACCTGTCGTATCTATGGTAAAAATGAATAGAATAAAATTGTTTATTTACCTCCTAATACGGAGGGCTTTCAAGCTCATCCTAAACTTTAAATTCAGTTAACTAGGTAACGTGAAGAATAAAATTCAATGAAAAAAATCGACTCGTGTGATCTTCATCAATCGACGAATAAACTTCCCACCGATTAACTTAAACGACAAAAAGATACCACAGGTGATGATGGCAATATCATGGATTATACTTAGACTGAAGTCTAATTTGCAAAAGGGAGCAACTTGGTATTAAACTCCAGAAACTACGATGGATTAATTATCAGAAATCAGAGTTAATACTCAAAAACAAAGCTTTAATCTTCAAAATCGATCTTAAACTTATTTAGACATACACAATTCAATTACAGCATTCGATTCTAACTGAAATCATTGAAATATTTCAGTCCAAAATTTTAAGAATGATAACCACTCTAGCATTATTAGTAAAAAACCGTACTATTGAACTTGTTTAAAAGAACCAATTAGTAAATTAAAAAGAAATTAAAAACTTTAGTGCTAATTATAGAAAAAAAATGGGTCCATCTCAACATACTTGCCCAAAATTTAAATTGAAAACTATTAAAATAAGAAAAATTTCACATCTAGGGCATGTTCTTAGAGGAGACAGATTCAGAATTCCTCAGCTTATTATGAAACGTAAAATTGATGGCTGCAGAATTGAAAGAAAGCAGATGAAAGACCGTGAACAACTCGCCAATGTAATTGCCAACATTATGGGGACTTGATATTGCACCGAAAAATAAGAAGGGAACTGACATTTCTTAATAGTTATTTGTTATAACCCATAGGGGCCTTGATATGAGGTAGGAGTATGTACAATTCCTCATTACTTAACCTGTATATATTTATATAGGGTAAACTGATCCATAGTGGAACGTTTTTTTTTTCAAAAGTGTATAGCACCTTGATTAAGCATTTGTAAATTATAGTAGGGGTACCTATACATGGGTATGGATGTAAGGAAGCAAACTAATAATAAAATCCACAAGGAAACTAAGTTGCTGTAGCTGGCTCTATACCATATTTCACAAAAAATTTATTTAAAAATCTTTTATAAAAGGTATATTGATAACATGGCAACGTAAGACTCCACTGGGGGTTGATAGTGACTAGCAACCTCCAGTGGAGTCTTACGTGGCCATGTTAACAATTCCTGTTGTAACTTAAACATCCTAGTATATAAGATCAACCAATGTAACTTAAATTCAATTTAACATTTCACGGATTTTTACCCAACATGTACATTTAGTGGCTCAAAACATGTACATCTAGATAACACTGATGATGGAATATTAATTCCGAAAACGTTCTGCAATGTAGCCCGATAGGGTGTTTTAATTATATACCTTTAATAAATAATTAAAAAACAAACTAATAATATTTTCAAGTTATCCTTTATTTATAATAAATGTTATTCAACAAGTCCCACTATGGACCACTAGTCCCACTATGAACCACTATATGGTCCATTGTGGGAATCATAGTGGTCCATAGAAGTCGACGAGAAGAACAAAAAATATTTTGTCAATTCGGCGGCTGAGTGACCGATCACACACAATCCGGGCGGGGTCACCGACTTATGTCGGTGACTCGCTGACCGGAACGCCCATTTTGAGACACAATTCCAAAGTCATGTAAAAATTAACTTCAGTCATTCATGGGGAGAAAAGTTTGTCTAGCAATCCCTAAATCAGGTGACTTAACCACATAAAGTAAAACAGAGGATGTCCCATTACCCAGGGCATCCAAAGTAACTTTCAGTACAAAGCCTCCTCATTCGTTATGTCGTTGGTTATAGCTTTTTTATAGTTGATCTTCGGACATGTGGGTCCCACTGTTCCATTCGAACACATATGACACTCGGAGCTGGGGTTCTACAAAAATTTGTTGTGTGTTTGTATGGTCCATAGTGGGATTTTTAATAAAAAAACTTTTACTCTATTTTAAATTAGATAAAATTCACAGGGAACCTAAACTGGCGAGCAGCCCTAGCTGTACTTGCACTAATTGCAGTAGGGGGCAGCTTTAGTAAAATATATTCTGCTCCTACGGTATTTACATCGACTTTGTAGGGGAAAACAAATTTGCCAGCCACAATTCTCTTCATGAAAGAGATATTATATTCATCTCCCCTGACCGACATAATGTTTAACAGTTTTTTTGTCATGTATCTTACTATAGTATAGTCCTGTTTTGAATAGACAAATCTTGATTTCTTCTGTTTTTTCTTCTGAAAGTATTTTTTCAGCCAATTTTTCTTTATGCTGTTCCTCTATGACATCTTTTATGGGGGTATCTGATATTATTGCCGAATGTAGCTTCTTTCTGCTTTTCCTACTGCTTTTCCTAGGAGCAGCTTTGGCATGTGATCTTATTTGGTGAGGGATTATTATATTGGATGGGCCATTAATTGGGCTGACATGTCGTAGTTCTTCTACATCCTGATTATTTTCAACATCCTGACCATCTTGCATATCCTGACAACCTTCGTTAGCCTTATTTTCGTTACCATTTTCATTTTATTCGGGCCTATCAGTGACATAAGATGACATAGAATAACTCTATGAAAAAATTTGGGATTTCAGGGACGCTATGCCTGTTTTTTTAAATCCGTTGATAATGATGACAGGAATGAATGCTTTAGGGCAGGCGGTACCAACAACACTACAAAAATAATAAATGCTCATAGGTATGGCAAGATGATTTAGCATTAACTCATCAAAGTGGTACAGCTAGATTTAAACAGAATAAGACGATATTGATGTTGTTGTACATATCCATACCACATTCAAGTTAAAAGGATACATTTCGGCGGATTATTCGAAAAAATCCGAACATGGAAATAAAAATGTTCAGCTGATCACACACCTGAATATCCAAAATATCGAAACGCACAGTACTAATTGAAAAACTAATACGATATTCGGAGGCGGCACTTTTATGATAGCACACACACTGAAATATAGCTCTGCCGCGACGATAAAATAGCCAGAAGAGTGAAATTACCACTATGGACCGCGTCAAACTATGGACCAGTTTATCCTAAACGACCTAAACTTATTATTTTCTCGCATCCTAATCTTAAAAAGTTATCCTTAACTTAATTTTTAAAAGGTTCTAACTACACATACTTACCGTTTTTTCAATTCAAGATTTACCCAATCCATTTCAAAAATATGCAGACATGGATTCATTCTGTGGGGGTATTTTGGATTTGTATTATAGAAGCTTTCGCTTAGATAATCTATTCCGTTAAAACTACTCCTTGGTTTCTTCATATAAAACAAGATATAAATTAGAATAATTAAAACATTTAATTAAATTAGAAAATGTATTTTTTCATTTCCGGCATCAGCAGTTAGTTGGCTGGTGTCTTATCACCAAACCAGATGCAGGTATATTTTCGACTATGGGCCATAATGTTCTTGGAAAATTAATTCTTTTTTTTATTTACAAACAATAGTCGCTTTAACCACATGGATCATTATCGACATTAGTTATTACATTATATTAGATTATATAAAGATGTATCTTTAAGAAAGCTAATTAAGTTTTTGGTAGTTAAATGTTCACCTAATACTGTTTTTAAGTCACTGGAAATATTATTATTTTGTCTGTTTACCGTATATTTTCCAAATTATGTAAGGAGGTGTTTACCAGTACTGTTGACTTGACAATATTCACACACTGGAATGTCTTCCTTATTCATTAGGTACTTATGTTTAATATTGAATTTTAACTTAGTGAGTTCTTTTTTTAGTTAATTTCTTTTAAATCATGAATGTGTTGCCTGTATTTCAATTTCAAATAGGTTAAAAAGAAATAAAATAAGACTTTACAATCAATTTAATTTTACTACCAAGACGACCGGTTTCGCTTTCTACAATTTTCAAAGCATCTTTAGGTCAGTCGGTACAAAGTACATTAAATCCGGCATCATTTAATTTACTTTGTACTGACTGACCTGAAGATGCTTTGCAAATTGTAGAAAGCGAAACCGGTTGTCTAGATAGTTAAATTAAACTGATTATGAGTAAATCTAATTTTATTTCTTTTTAACCTAATTTCTTTTAACTTAGATTCCAATAAGTCCCACTTATTTTGCCACACACTGATCACTTTTTCTTTGACGAACTGTTTTATTTCACTCTATATATTAGAGCAAAGTCGTTTTTGGTAGCTTCTCTGTCTTGGAGGTCTGCTTTTTCACTTCCTTGTATTCCAATGGGAGGTGGAACCCACATAAATTTGACTTCGGAATCAGATTCTTGTAACGGAGCAAGTTCTTTATTGACAAGTAAGGCTATAGGATTCTTAGTGTATAATGTGAGTTGACCAATTGTTGTTAACGAGTTTAGAGAATCTGTGATAATGACGAAGGAATAATGGTTTGTACTTTTGATTTGCATGAAGGCTTGTATAGGTAATATTGCCTATAATTCTGGTATGTATATAGAAGTGGCTGACATTAATTTAAATTGGGAAGAGGAATGTGAAGTGACAAATGCTGCTCCTACAACGTTTGCAGTTTTGGAGGCATCTGTATAAATGCAAAAACTTTCCCCGCAAGTCTCGAGTTCCTTTAAAAATGACTGTCAGATTACATTGGCAGATGTTTCTGATTTGTGATATTGGAGTAGTATCATGTTCATTTGGGAATCATGATTAGCCAAGGAGGGGGAATTTTTACATTTAAAGGAAAGAAATCAGGAATTTGGAGTTGCAGAGCTTTTAAATTTTTTCGGACTCCTTCATAGAATAGTGAATAGAACTCACATTTTTATAAGTTTCTAGGTAACGGTCCGTAAATATATTTCGAAATATTGGGTGGAATTTGTTACTGGCGACTGAAGATGCATACGAGAGGCATACATACTTCCTTCGTAAGGTAAGAGGTGGCTCTCCTGTTAGGCATTGGAGATTCTTAACTAGTGCGGTTCAAAATGCACCTGTGACAATGCAAAGTTCCGTGTTTTGAATGATTTTAAGTTGCTTGGTAACATGTTTTTTACTAGAGGCATATACGCCCCATAATGTATATTTGATTTAACGAGTGACTTATAAATATTTAATAATGTAGTTTCGTCCGTTCCCTATTTTTTTTTTTTTTTGATAGTATTTTCATTGCATTTAATCGATTTTGGCAAGACTTTTTTATTTCTGAAATATGTTGTTTCCATGTTAGTTTTTGGTCGAATACCATTTCAAGAAAATTAATTTTGTCTGAGAATATGACTTACTCGCTATACAGTTTTAAAGGTGTTCTTTGGAGCCGGCGCCTTCTTGAGAAAAGCATGCATCTTTTTTTAGTCGGGGGAATTGCACGCCTACTGACGCGAACTATATCTCTAGTTTATAAATGGATTTGTACATGGTACATTTGTATTTGTAGGTGCTTTTGAATCATTCTTATATTCTTGCCCTTTGCAAATTGAACCAAATCGTCGGCATAAAGTCCTCCCTTAACCTTAATCATTAACATAAAGTCCTAGTGATCCAGTATATCGTTGATAGCTACACGAAAGAGAGTTGGGCTCATAACTGACCCCTAAGGTATTTCGTTTTCCTGAATTTGTTTGTTGAAGTGGTCGAATCATCGGAGTGAACAGAGAAAGCTCTTGACTGAAAAAAGTTTTCTATGAATCTTAGCATATTACACTTTGGCATTCGCCGGTAGAGGTGTGAATTCGCAGTTTGTGAATTTTCTTAGCTGTACTTTGGTCAGAAACTTAAGCTAAAAAATAGGTTTGCCCAGGGTATATTTCGAGATGACTGCTGAAAACGAGCCCGTTGGAAGAATCATTATCGAGCTAAGAAACGACGTGGTTCTCAAAACAGCCGAAAACTTCTGGGCCTTGTGCACCAGCGAAAAAGGCTTTGGCTGCAAAAAATTCACCTTCTAACGTGTCATTTAAAATTGCATGTGCCAAGGAGATGACTTCACTAACTACAACGGTACCGGAGGAAAATCAATCTATGGAAACAAATTCGCAGATGAAAACTTCACACTAAAGCACACCGGGCCTGATGTAATGTCGATGGCCAATGCTGGTCCAGACACCAACGGATCCCAATTCTTTATCACCACCGACAAGACATCCTGGCTGGACAACAGACATGTCGTAACAGTACATACGGTAGCGTAGTCGAAGGAATGGACGTCGTCAAGAAAATCGAAGCTTTGGGCTCTCAATCTGAAAAAACATCCAAGAAAATTGTCGTAGCTGACTGTGGTAAATTGTAAATTTATATAATTCTTTCTACGCCTTGGTGATACCGAATAATACTGTGATGGTCTTTAGATTATTTGCAAAACCTTCGTGTATCAAGTGACTTGTAAGTCTAGAAAGTTGTCTATGCATGATCTATTTTGACAAAAACTAGTTTGCTAAGAAATTAAATGTTTTTCTTGTTCTAAGTACCAGAATAGTCATGTATTTATCATTTTTTCTATAACTTTGCATGATACGTTAGTAAGTGATATAGTACGGTAGGAGTTTATGTTTGTTCTGCTTTGTTAAGTTCGAGAGGGGAATTATAATGCTGTCTGACTATACAGATTGAAAGACCTGATTAGTCTAAATAAAATTGTATAATTTTAACAACCAAGACATTCCACTGGGCTTGGAGCGGAATTTTTAGTTGACATTAGGTAATTTTTAAGTTTTTGTATTGTAATCGGTACATTCAGTATGTTATACTCATGAGAGTAGTACTCCAATTTTGTTTTTTCCGCGCTTTATTTCTCAAGCTTAAAGTCTGGTGAACAGTTTTTCGTTTTCATTCGAAGGCCCCGTACCAACAAAATTTACAATTCACAACATTATTTTTAAATTTGAAAAAAACTGGTTATGTGAAGAATTTTAGAAAATGCAAGGATAGTAATGAAGATGAAAATCAACCAGCTCGTGTAATTAATGAAGAACAGAAACATCGTGAAACTGTCGTATGTAGTCTAGCTGAAATCAATTTTCCTTGTAACAGCACCCTAATTTCAAGAGAAACTGGTATTAGTGGTAGAACTGTACGAAATATTTTAAAAAGAAACAAGTACCATTGCTACAAATTGTAAAAAACTCAGGAAATTTTATTTGCTGGTTATGAACTACGAATGTTGTTTTGTGACCAGCATGATGGAACGCACTAATCGAGATGAATATTTCATGAAAAAAATCTTGTTTACAGATAAGTCTTCTTTTTCTTTAACTGACCATTTAACGGCTATGCTGACAAATGTGGCAGTCCTTGAGAGAGCAAATGCTGCTCGCGAGCTGCTTGATAACATCAAATGTAGAAAGATGGCCTATTTTGGACACGTAGTAAGGGAAGACCGATATAATATTCTTCAACTTATTATGATGGGTAAAATCGAAGGACGCAGAGGAATTGGTAGAAATCAGGCCTCTTGGTTGAAGAATATCAGGGAATAGACAGGAATAAGGAAAGCTGAGCAACTCTTTAGAATAGCTCAAGACAGAGACAGTTTCGACATGTTAATCGCCAACGTCAAGGGGACTTGACAGGGCACGTTAAGTAGAAGAAGACCGTTTAACAATCCATCTGTTACCGTAGGGTACTTTAGAGAAAATAGGCACATAAGTGTTCCTTATAAAATACAATACCGTCAAAAAGTCAACGTCTGAGCTGGTATTGTAGGTGTCAACGTAATTGGCCCTTTTTTATTGTGGGCACTTTTCATTATTATCATCATTCTGCCTTTACAACCCTGCGTGGGTCCTGGAATCCTCAAGAATTTCTTTTGAGTCGGCACTTTGTGTCGCCGTAAATACCTAGATATCCGGAGAAAGCACATAATTCCAGCAGTTCAGTATTAATATGAATGAAATTTGGCTGCAGCAAGACGGCTGTCCAGCTCACAATGCACGGGAGGTGTTAGATTTTTTAAACATTACGTTTCCAGATAGAGTTATTGGTACAAAAGGTACCATAAAAATGCCACCGCACTCTTCTGATCTTGCACCTTTAGACTTTTCCATATGGGGTTATATGAAGCAACAAATTTACCGACATGAGCATAAACGGGCCGGAAATTTAGACGAATTGCGTCCAAAAATCATTTAGGCCTTTCAAATCATAACAGCCGAAATGTTGTCAAGCACCTGAAGGCAATTATACAATAGATTGACCTACCGCTTGGCTAAACGTGGTGGACTTTTTAAAAATTTAATTTAAAATAGTTTTAAGTAAAATAATTATAAAATTGTTATTTTTTAGAATAAATTGTGTTAATTTATGCCGTTAAGAATTTATTATGTTATTTTTATGAATTGAGAAAAAAAAAACTATTGATTAAATCTAAGATATCAACGTGCCTTTAAATCTTTGTAATCACATCTTTGAAATATTTCCCCAGATTTTTTCTCAGTTCGTTGCGTTTAGTCAGATATTTTTTTCCATACCTATATATATATATATATATATATATATTATATATATATATATAATATATATATATATATATATATATATATATATATATATATATATAATATATATATATATATATATATATATAAATATATATAAATATATATATATATACATAAATATATATAAATATAAGTATATATAATTTGGTTAAGACATCAAATAAAATTAAGACTTACATAACAACAGTCCTCTTGCATTGTTCGATGTAGTAGTTTGTAGAGAAAACCTCTAAGTAAAGGAAATATTGATATTTCCAGTTCTTGAAGAGCAGGATCTACAAAAACCTTAATTATATAAAGAACAATTTCCTAGTACAGAAAACATTACTTGTTTTAGTAATACATAATGAATCCTGAGACTTCTTGTAGTCTTCAAACATTACTTTACTTTGATCCCAGTCTTCCATTATCTCTGCTGCTATTTCAAGATCAATTTCAACTTCTATGTCACCTTGGTCTAATGTTGTTTCCGTTAGTATATTTGGTGTGGAAATATGATTAGTTTTACCCTGTAACTGAGGTTGACTTTGAGCCATTTTCAGATCTATTAAATACGTCAAATATTATGACAAATATCAAAATTTTATTTACTTTATTTTCCTTTTATATGATTATGTAAGTGTATTAGTATCACTGTAGTAACCAGACACACTAAAATACTAGATAATACAAAAAAAATAATAAAAAAAGAGGCGAAGATCGGTAAAGACAGAAAAAAACTACAGGAGACGAGCATGCGTAATGTACCAATAAAAGGTCGAAGTATCTATTGAAAGAAGCCCACAAACCAAAAGACAATCTACATCGGGCGCTAAGGCTTATGGTAAAGTCACAAAAATAGATGTAGGGTATACACAAAAGTCGTTTGGATCACGTCCATGTTTCGATCTAAATGAAGAAAACGTTTCGATCTAAATGAAGAAAACGTTTCGATCTACGAGCTCAAACGAGCAATTTATCTACAATTTACGAATCATTTAGTTTTATATTTGTATAGTACAAAAGATAATATACACCACTATGTGGTATAAGGGTTTTTGAAAATATATATAATATAAAATGTATTGAAAGGAAATATTAGTTCTAATGGTCTTGCTGAATCTTCCACAACTCTATATCTTTATACAAGGCGAAGTCAGATCTGTGATGTATAGAATACATAGTAAGCAACACATAAACTAGGCGCATAGTGCTGACAGTAGAAAACAAATCGAGGAGCTAAAAGCAGATATCGTAATGGGACAACCATCTCCCAGGTATAACAATAAAAACAGCCAAAATCGAATACCTCTGTCACATCATGAAGGAAAGATATGGGTTGCTGCAATTAATTGTACACGGAAAAGTAGAAGGAAAACGAGGACCAGGAAGGCGAAGTATTTCCTGGCTGAAAACTCTAGTGGTTCAACAACCACAAATCCTTTCAGAGCAGCAGTTTGCAAAATACATATTGCCATTATGGTCGCCAGCATCCGAAACGGATAAGCACTACAAGAATAACCCATACAAGCAGAAGCTACCTAATATACGGATGGCTCAAAAATATCTGAGAGTGTAGAAGAAGGTATAGTAGGGACCACGCAAGGGATACATTTCCCAGTAAGTCTATCTAAGGATGCCACAATTTTTCAGGTGGTAATAACGGTAATCCATCACTGCGTGGAAGAAACAGAAAGGCACAAAAGAACGCAACTTTTAATTGCCTTCTTCACAGATACCTAGACACAGCTTAAGACACTCAATTCTGTAAAGATAAATTCTAAGCTAGTATGAGATTGTGTGGGTGCCCTAAATAACTAGGACACCGTAGCAAAATTACGGTAGCCTGGGTATTAGGGCACGAGGGTCATAAGTGCAATGAAAAAGCAGATGAAATTGCTAAACAAGGCTCACTAATGTCATTCATTGGACCGGAACCCTTCTAAGCGTTGCAGGAGTAGCAGTACTAACAATGGCTACAAGAAAATGGGTAGCACATAAATCTCTGGAATGGTGGAGGAAATGTTACAGCAGGCCTAATAAGCAAAGATAGGAAAACAGTTAAAGCCATAGTAGGTCTCCTAACAAGGTACTGTAAGCTAAATAGGCAACTGAAGATATTGGAATTGGCAGATGATAATCTATATATATATATATATATATATATATATATATATATATATATATATATATATATATATATATATATATATATATGTTATATGAGAAAATATTAACCTTGAACTAGCTTAAGTTCGCCGACTTCAGATTTCATCATTTCATTCCCATAGAAACAGCTGACCACGCAGTAGAACTTTGTACGAACCGTTGGCCAATATTCATGGGAACAGCGATTCAGCACTTCATATCAAACCTATAAATTGCCATTCTCAGATGCGGGGACCACTCTTAGCTGCAACTTCGACCAGTCCAGTTATTGTAGTCATTTTAAATTAATTTAATTTTGTACTATTATTTAATATTTAATTTGTAACAAATAAAGTTCTTTTTTAAAAAGTTAAACTCGTGATCAGTGATCTAACAATTGGCGCAAAGTCAGTAGGATCCGAAAAACGTTGCTAGAACACGTGTATACTCACTGGCAGCGGCGGATTCTCATCCCTTAACGGAACAAAGAATCTACGGAAGTCCTCACTCCTGTGATCTACGGAAGGAACACCTAGTGAAGCCCCTGGTAGCCGAGCAGAGAGAACAAGACGACCCTTAAAGAAGAAGACATCTCCGAACAACCTCACTCCTGTAATCTACGGAAGGAACACCTAGTGAAGCCCCTGGTAGCTGAGCAGAGAGAACAAGGCGTCCCGATGTTCTTCTTTATGTAAGTGGATTTTGAATCATCTCGTTAATAATTTTGTTTTAATAATTTACGAAATTGACTATACTGCAAGTCAATTAATCAAGATACAAAAAAAATAATACAAGTTGATTATCTAATATTTGAAATTATTGATATTGACATATTTCTTTTATACTATTTTATAATTACTGATATTTTATTCACATATTTTTTTTTACTTGCTATATTTTTGGTATATTTTCTCTTGATATATTTTTATTTGACATATTTGATACATTTTTACTTGATATATTTGATACATTTTTATTGATATATTATTTGATATTTTGAATTGATACATATTTGTCCTTTATATATACCACCACATTTTTTTTTCTCCCTTATATACTGATATATTTTATACTTCTCCATACTTCTATTTTTCATTTTCGTTTCAAAATATCAACAAGAAATCGAACCATACAAGCTTTCGGAAATATTTTCCATTATACCAGAATTTGAAGGCGATCCGATTTCTCTTTCTACATTTTTAGATGCGTGTGACTGTGCCTTTAAAATGGCCACAGGCGATCAGCGCGTTCTATTAACGATTCACGTAAAAAATAAACTCAAAGGTAAAGCTGCACAGCTTATTAATTCTAGAAAACCACTTTCCTATACAGAAATAAAACAATTATTAAATCTACATTTCGGAGACAGTAGAGACCTGACCTCCTTAATACAAGACTTACAAAGACTAAGACAACTATCTAACGAATCTCCTCTAACTTTCTTTAACCGCTTACAAGTTCTGAATGCAAAAATGCACGCCTCGATCCAAATAGCAAATTTATCCCCAGATCGATGAAAACCGCCCAATGTGACTTAATCGATACCATGGCCCTAAACACACTTTTAACCGGTTTAGAACCCCGTCTAGGACAAATTATTAGGGCTAGTAATCCAAAAGATCTCATTGAAGCAAGCAATCGTATTAGACGCGAACTTCAATTGTCATATTTTGAAGAACAAAAATCTAATTCTAGATTGACTATTCCTAAACCCTCTCAACCAATGAGAAGACCCTCATCTCAGTTTACAAAATGTACAAATTGTGGCCGCATTGGTCATCTAAATACTGAATGCCGCTCTTCACGTTTCGTAAAGCCAAACCAAACTTTTTCTAGGCCACACAGTTACCAAAACCAATATAATAATGGACCTAATAACTATCAAAACAATCAGTACCCTAATAGGAATCAATATTCTTCCAACAATCCAAATTTCAACCAACAGAGACCTTCCTTTTTATCTCAAAATCAAAATCAAAATCGTCCATCTGTTATTCAAAGAAACCCAAACTTCCAACGGGCACATGTCTTAAACGAATACCCTGACGAAATAACGACTAACTATTATACAGATGATTACTACACAGATAATTATTATAATACCGATAACTATGAAAACTATGACACAGATTATTATACAGAAAATAATCCACAAACTGATAACTTTTACGAAACCAATAACACACAAGATTATCAAAATTTTCTTTCACTTCCGAATCAAAATCATCCTCCCAATCATACGAACCACTCAACGGATATTACGAATATCCAAGAACAAATTCAAGCACTCAACTTGGACGACTTTCATCCGAACCTCAATTTTCCCGAACAGACATTCATGTAACCCCATTTCATACAATGACTTCCAAAAATTTATATTATATTAACGATGCTACCAACACTTTTAAACTTTTAATCGACACAGGTGCTGGAATCACTGTTTTCAAAGATTTCCTGAAAACGTTACTATTCAAGGTATAACCGATCAAAAATTGTTAATAACAGAATCTGTCCTAATTCCCTTCACTGACAATAATCCTCACAAAGTCTTTATTTTCAATTTAGACATTGATTTCGATGGCATAATAGGCCTAGACTTTCTAGATCATTATGAATGCGTAATAGATCTTAAATCCCGACAGTTGCATACAAATTTTAAAACTGTCACCCTTCACAAAGTAGGACACGAGACAAACACCCCTCAAGACAAAATACCGACACACCCTACAGAAACAAGACAAAACGAACCTAAAATAAAAATTAAATCAGATTCTAAACAAGAATCAAATTTAAAATACCAAAACCGTATAAATGAAAAATACACTATCATAAAAAACAGAGATCAAGAAAAAAATCTTGAAAGACCGGAGAGAAAACGAATAAAAGGAACAAACAGAATTACCATTGACAGCCGGACCGAACAAATATGCAAATTAAAATGCAACTTATCGAATACAGATGCCATATTATCAGCTCAAGAAATAGAAAAAGTAAGATTACCTCATGCATTAGTCCATGTAGACGAAAATGGAGAATTCTTAACTTCCGTCCTAAATGCTAATGCAATACCGAAGACAATCGAA